ACGTCTTTTTACGTGACGCGTGATTCGTGAAAACATTTTCCGTGATGCGTGATTTAATAGAAAAATTCAGCGTGATGCGTGATTGGTACCCTACCTTTGCCACCCTTGTTCAAGCCTGAATTGTTTCAGGGTCAAATTTTACAACTGCTAAGTTGTGTGTTTAACTACAATGATCAATCATGTCTTTACATCTTTCCCGCAGTTCAAATATCTGATATTTCATGTATTGACTTGTATTCTTTATCATCTACGGATGTATTACGAACTCACAACGTGACCAGCTCCCAGTTGGCTTGATAGCTCAGTTGGTAGAGCACTGCACTAGTATCGTAGAGGTCATGGGTTCGAATCCCGCTCAAGCCTGCTTTTTTTTTTTTTTTCAGGCTTAAATTACACAACTGCTAAGTTGCGTGTATAACTGCGATGGTCAATCATGTATTCACATCTTTCCCGCGCTTCAAATGTATCTAGTCCTTCATATAAGTCACATACGTACATACTTTATTGAACCTTCCAATTGGGGCTTTTCAGGAACACTAATTTTAAGTCAACTTTACAATAATAATAATAATAATTACAACAATAAAAACTATCAATCTACATTAAAATGGTAAAAATATACATAAGGTGTTCACGATAATTATTTCTGTTTTAGTTCTGGTTTACAAATGCTTTAGCAGCACTATAGTATTTATGGGCATGCAAATATCTCAAATGAAGCTAGTTGTTGTTATTGTTGTAGTTGGTAAATTTATATCACAAATATTGGTCGAGTATGTAACGCTTCTGGATGAACAAATCACAAACTAATTAACTTTAGAAAATATTTTGTTTCTCTTTGTCTCTATCGAGTTTACACAGGAAACAGTCGTGAACGTTTGGCGGGAAATTTGAAATAGTATGAAAACATTCGCTTCACCTACGACTAGGGTTTCCACAACATTTCTTATTCTCGAGAGGAAATTAACTTCCACTCGTGTTTCTACAACTCCATATGTAAGAACAATGAAATATTTTTCTATTTCTTAATTGAATATCTAATTATGATATCCCTGATATTGAATTTAAGAATCTTACAATGTATGCGAACTTGATCCATTTTTAGTACATTTGGTGTATTCATAGCTATCTAAATACACTTTTGAAATCTCAGTTCTAAATCAGTACCAATCAGGATTTGCGTCCTAATATCTCTATATTAGTCTTTGTCTCTAAATAGAGCAAAATCTTGTTATGATCAGTTTTGACTAGCATATCCGCAGGCATATATCAGGCATATATTATATATTATATATTATAT